CAGTGCTGTGACACCCATCCCAGTGCTGTGGTACCCATCCCAGTGCTGTGACACCCATCCCAGTGCTGTGGTACCCATCCCAGTGCTGTGACACCATCCCAGTGCCCCCGTACCCATCCCAGTGCTCCTGTACCCATCCCAATGCCCCCGTACCCATCCCAAAGCTCCGTTCCCATCCCAGTGCCCCGTTCCCATCCCAAAGCTCCGTTCCCATCCCAGTGCCCCGTTCCCATCCCAGTGCCCCCGTTCCCATCCCAGTGCTGCGGCACCCAAAGAAGGCAGGAGAGCCAAGATTTCTTCAGCAATGACCAAAACATAGAACAAACGAACAAGGGCACCCTGATGCCAAGCTCTGCTCTGGCAGGAGCGTGCGGCAGGACGTTTTCAGAGATCCCTTCCAGCGAGGGCTCTCCCACCCCTGACCCAGCCCAAGGCATGGGCGCGATGTCTCCAGCACTCCACTCAGCCCTGACTGCTGAACTCAAGCTAACAAAAACCCCAGCCTACTTCCAAGCTGACAGATGTACCGGACACATCTCCCGAACAGGATATCTAGTTCCTACCACACCACGGATTCTGCCTGAGCTCTGAGGAAAAAACTCGGCACCCCAGGGAGGGCCCGGACCCCCGCGGCGCTGTCGATGGCGGCACCGAGGGCCGCGCCATGACCCCGCCGGCCCGGCCAGCACTCTGCGGCACCGGGAGCGCAGCCCCGCGCCCCTCCGCCCCTCGGCGCCGCCGCTCACCAGCTCGGGCACTCGAACAGGGACCCGCCGCCCGCCGGGGCCGCGCTCGCCGCCATCTTGGCTCTGCCCCATTCAGCCGGCGCGGGGCACCATGGGAGGCGCGATCGGCGCGCGGCGATCCCGGCGTGCCCCGCGCGGCGCTGGGCGGGGCCTGGCGGGGCCCCGCCCCCGAGGGCTGGCCCCGCCCCCGCCCGGCCGGTACCGACCCGGGAGAGAGCCGGTACCGACCCGGGACAGGGGAACAGAGCCGGTACCGACCCGGGACCGGGGAACAGAGCCGGTACCGACCCGGGACAGAGCCGGTACCG